TGGATCAGGTGACCCTGAGCCTTCCCTTAGTTATGCTGCTATAGGCCTAGGCGGCTGGGGGGCCCCATGATGCTCTGAGTTTCTCTCCCCTCCCCTCTCCTCTCCTCTCCTCTCCTGTCCTCTCTCTCTATGCCACCATTACACATCACTAATTTGTGTATCCTCTCTCCCGTAGTGTCCTCTCTCTCTCCCTGTACCTTTCTGCAGGTTGCCCTGGCTCTGGAGCTCTATGTTTCTGATGAGCAGTCACCAGCCACATCAACCTGACCAGTGTTTGATTGTTTGTTGTGTCTTGTTGCTTTTCTTCTTTTCTCTCTCCTCTATCCACTCACCCCAACTGGTCGAGGCAGAAGGCCGCCCACCAAGAGCCGGGGTCTGTCAGAGGTTTAAGTGTCCTGAGATGACTTTTGTTGTGATTGGGCGCTATACAAATAAGATTTGATTTGATTTGATTTATTGCAGTACAGGAACTCCCAGACGCTGCTGCCTCAGCCTCAGACTCTACACCCTGTATATACACAGCAGTGCCTCCACCCAGGACAGCAACCTCATAATTAAATATGCAGATACATAACCACACTTGGGCTCATCAAAGGTGAGGACGAATCAGCGTACAGAGAAGCGGTGAACATCATTGCCTATGGAGAGGGCAATGACCTGGTCCTTTTCATCAACAAAACCAAAGAAATAGTTATGGACTTGAGTAGGAAAGCTGCACCTCTGCAGTCTCTCACCAACAAGGGGTCTAACAGTCACAAGTTTCTGGGCCTTTAGGTGACAGAAGATCTGAGCTGGGCTGCAAAAACGATGTCCACAGAGTAGAAACACAGTAATAAAATAAAAGGCTTTTTTCTCCAATTATATATTTTATCATTGAAGATTTCTTTAAAAGTGTTAAAATAGCATCTCGTCCTCATGCTAGTTTTTATATGACGGTGACAGAAATCTGTCTTTGCAAATAATTTATCTGGTTAGTATTAAAGGGCTGGGAAAGTGTGTAGTTGTTTACATCGTTTCTTCGCTTTTATGTGTTGCACAGTTTACTTTGCATTTTCTTTTTGCACCTTTTTGTATTGACTCAGAGATAGGCACAACCACTTCCTATGTCGCTGTACTTATACAAATGGCAAATAAAATATCTTTCTCTTCATAGTAGTTGATATGTAAATAAAGTCTGGTGGGACTACGAGCCGTAGTAACTGCAATTTAAAACCAGTAGAAATCTGACTGTAGTCTGGTGGGGCAGACTCACTTGAGGTCTCTGTTGACTGCCTGCAGGTTGTCCTGGAACTCGGCTATAAACTGCTTCTCTCGGCCCTCTAAGGTCTCCCGGTTCTTCATTCCGTCCCTCAAGGACTCGAAGACGCGACTCACGCTGGAGCGCAACGCCTGGATGCCACTGATGGCGTGAGAGAAAGCATCCAGATTCACCCCAATATTCACCACATCCGCCATTGTCTGTTACTAGCTGACGCCCAATGATGATGTCACTAGGCCGACAGGCCCACTAAAAAAACGTCACTTAAAAATTAAATAAAGAAACATTCATGTTGTTGAAGCTTTGCCTGTGTAACTTTATTCTTTATTAAACTGATGCTGAGTTGCTGTTTTCATTTTTAGCCTGGGTGAATTTATCACCACAGAAACAAACTAATGGACCAAAGTACTGGTTGTACCTATTTTAATAAATTAAAAGAGTAAAATGTTTTTAAATTAAAACTTTAAAACAAAGGTCTTTTAGAGACCTCAAAGAAAACTAAGAAAGCAAAACATTAACATATAAAATGAAAATGAAAATTTGAAGAAAGAAAATAGGCTAAAAAAGTAAAATACAGAAATAAGAGTTAGAGCAGAGAGAGGAGAAAGAGGTAGAGAGGCAGAGTTAGAGTGGAGAGAGAGGTAGAGAGAGGAAGAGTTAGAGCAGAGAGAAGTAGAGAGAGGAAGAATTAGAACGGAGAGAGAGAGGTAGAGAGAGGAAGAGTTAGAGCAGAGAGAGCAAAATGAGATTAGAAGGGGAAGATAAAGAGGAGTGAAACAGATGGAGGAGGAGAGGAAGGAGAAGGAAACCGAGAAAAAGAAGAAATAAAGAAGAAAAGATGAAGAGGAGGACAAACGTTTTGTCATCTCTTTATCCAGTTGATCATTAACCAACCTGAAGACAGACAGGTGAGCAACACTGAGAGAGACAGACAGGTGTATGTAGATGGAGGGTGGACAAAATAATGCAAACAGCTATAGCTTGATTTTACGTTAAGTAGTGGCATCTGCAGTTTTTTACGCTGTTGTGGGTTGGGCAGGAGGTAGCACAGACAGGGACAGAAAGAAACTAAACAAGCTGGTTAAGAGAGCTGGTTCTGTCCTGGGCTGCCCCCTGGATTCCATGGAGGAGGTGGCCGACAGAAGGATGCTGGTAAAACTAACATCCATCATGCATAACCCCTCCCATCCACACAGTAGAGACTCTGAACAGTTCTTTCAGCACAAGACTGTTACATCCCCAGTGCAAGAACGAGCATTACCGTAGGTCGTTCCTCCCCACAGCAATCAGACTGTACAATACATCGCTGCAGCGATAAGCTAAACATTGCAATACTCAAATCCTGGGTTAATAAAATGCATGGTTAATATGTACATATGTAAATTCTGTTCTTGATTTTTCTCTTGAATAATTTATGCTGTCTTAAAATCTGGAATTTGTTTATCAAGATATGTGTGTGGTGATTGTTCTCATGGTATTATGTGGTTTGTTCTCTATTGCTCCCGAAACACTGAAATTTCCCCATTGAGAGATCAATAAACTACCTACCTACCTACCTACCTTAAAGGAGCAGATCACACAAATTAAAATGTAATGCCAGGGAGGAGCTGCATCTGTGTCTGTCAGCAGTTCCTCTGTAGCAAGGACTCTCTATGAAAACTACATTTCCATTCTTGTTTTTTTAAGGTTTCAGTCTCTGTTCCCTGCTGTGTGTGTGTGTTAGATTAAACAGTGGACTGACCATTAAATGTCCCAGGAAGGTTTTCGCATCCAGACAAGGATTTCACATTATTGTCTATTTTAAAGTCTAGATCTAATTTGTAGAATCTAGTTTCTTAAACCGTTTTGTGACAGAAACATTAAAATAAAGGACGTACTGTTTCTGTAAACATCATGTGTTTCACACCCGATATTCATGTACTGAACCACAAAAACTCAACACACGTTACACCATTTGACTGCATAGGTGTTCCTAATAAAGTGGACACTACTATGGCACTGACAGATTCGTCACCTCGGCATGGAGTCAGGACAACAAATGTTTGATAAAGAAGAAGACGCGTATGTGTCCTCGTCCAGACACAAACAAACAGGACGAGATGTTTATTTCTCCAGAGACAGGAAGTCTGCCCACCTGCTTATTAAAGGTTCACACCTGTCCTCCTTCAAACCGACACTTAGCAGATGTTCTGGAGCTTTTGACTGTATCACATGATCGTCCTCAGCATCAGAGGTGTCCCGCTTACAGTGCCAACACCCGGTGGAAGATCATGTCATGTGATCAGAAGCTCCAGAACAGCCACTGACTGGACTTCAGACCTATTAACTATCTGTTGTGTTTTGTAGGACTGAGCCTCAGGTAATGGTGACCACCTTGATGGTAACCAAGACAACAACTCTGTATTAATGACAACCACCTGTTTGAAGAGGGTTACACAGACCTGTACCTGTGGAGTAAAACTGTTGCAGGTGACCTTGTGGTGTCCTTCCTGTCTGGGTGTCAGGCCACCATGGCCCTCCTCCTGTTCCTTGTCCTACTGCCTTCGTTGAGCTGGACTCAGCCCGCCGCTCAGTTTGATGTGTGCCGGTCCCTGCGTGGCTTGGAGGTGGGGCCGGGCTGGGAGTTCTCCGCCTGCCAGCCTCCACCTGCCAACATGAAGGAGTTGATGCAGATCAGAGTCGACCCCCCCAGCATCACCTGTGGAAACCCACCTGAGAGATTCTGCACACTGGTCAGTTACACACCTGAACACACACACACACGCTGTAACAAGGTGACACCTGAGAGATGGTGCACTCACACAGGCAGGTACACGAGTCTATGTTTCTCAGCCTCTTCTTCCACAGATGAGATGAAACTGTGACTCGTCCTAAATGGCAATGCTGATTTATTTCAGCTGGATAACGTGGCGGTGTAGTTCAGATACCAACAAACTCCTGTTTCTGAAATACATAATTTGAATAAAATATTTTGGCTACAAAAACACAAAAAGGAGAAGGTGAAAATGCATTTTTGTCACCCAAGTGTCAGTATGACTCTGTTCTGTGGTTTCTGATCAATAACCTGATCACATTGTTCTTGTGGTAGTTTAAAGACCAGCTACACCTTCACATACTGGAGGAGGCGTGGCTACATGATGTGCAATGGAAGGTCAGAGATCATGGGGAGACTGACACACACACCTGAACTCCTGCTCTTTGTCTAATTGTTCCTTTGGGAAACTCAAGTTGTATTTGATTTAGTGATAATTGTAACAGTTGTAATGATGGAAAATTAATTAATGATTAATCTATAAAAAATAAAATAAAGATCCAGAATCTCTGTCGGTTTGAAACTGTAAAGATCCAGTTAGAGATGTTTTAATGAACCTCCTCCGTTCATGCAGAGTGTAGCAGACAGCGTGTTAATGGAGGTCAGTGACGGCTGCTTAAATCCTGTCCAGACTCGGCTGTGCCTGAGCTGCAGTGACAGCTGGCACAGGATAAGCCTTGATCTCACACTGATCGGATCAGTAATCCATCACACACAGTACATGTGTGTTAGCCACATCACTGTGCTGAAAATGTGAATCAGTCTGCACAGGCACAGATCACTACTGATCAGGCTTTATCAATACCTACTTGTCTAAAGCTCCCAGGAGCCTCCACAGTGTCACAGCTGTTCACTGGCTGAAAACAAACAAACAGCTACAGGTCAGAGTGTTCAGACACCAAGTCAAGTGAGCTTTGGATCGGTTTGACTGTACCAGAGCATATGAGCAAAGTGCCGCGGTGAGAATTTCCGCTCCTCACTCATGCCTAGGCGTAGGGCCGCCGTTTCGATCCCTGGCTTCTCCAGTCCACTTGTCAAAGTGCCCTTGACAAAACACTGAACCCCTAGCTGCTCCCAGTGATATCACCAGTGTGTGAATGGGTAAACGAGAAACAGTGTGGAGTGCACATCAATGTGTAAAAAATTGTTGTGCAGTTATAAGACCGGTCAGTGTGAGACAGTCAGTTTGAACTCAGCAGAAACATCTGTCTTGTGATGTTCACTGAGCCCTGGATTAAACTCTCTGGGTAAAACAATTTCAATTTGTGTGGCTTCATCTTTTTATGCTAAATCTGGTCTTTGCATTGAGTCTGCGACACAGTGCACACTGCTTTGTGTCTGAGTCACTGGAGGTTTAAGAGACATTTTAGGTTTCAGAATGAGGAGTTAATATCGAGAGTGCCGGGAAGAACCCAGGTCCAGTACTGTTGTCTTACAGAACATTGAGGCCAGGCGAAAGCCAGAGGCCACTGCTCCATATTCACACCTAACAACGCTACACAGAGTCTACTCAGCATCGCTCATGATACTTGTCAGTACTTCAGTTTGGGTTGTTTGGTTATGTCCATGTGTGTATCTATGTGTGCATGTTCATAACTCAAGTTTATCTGGTTATGCCAAAGGAGAACCCATACCTGTGCAGTGATGAATGTGACGCTTCCAGCCCCGACCTGTCTCACCCTCCTCAGCTGATGGGAGACAGGGAGAGAGCAGGACACATCACTTAGATCAGTAATCCATCACACACAGTACATGTGTGTTAGCCACATCACTGTGCTGAAAATGTGAATCAGTCTGCACAGGCACAGATCACTACTGATCAGGCTTTATCAATACCTACTTGTCTAAAGCTCCCAGGAGCCTCCACAGTGTCACAGCTGTTCACTGGCTGAAAACAAACAAACAGCTACAGGTCAGAGTGTTCAGACACCAAGTCAAGTGAGCTTTGGATCGGTTTGACTGTACCAGAGCATATGAGCAAAGTGCCGCGGTGAGAATTTCCGCTCCTCACTCATGCCTAGGCGTAGGGCCGCCGTTTCGATCCCTGGCTTCTCCAGTCCACTTGTCAAAGTGCCCTTGACAAAACACTGAACCCCTAGCTGCTCCCAGTGATATCACCAGTGTGTGAATGGGTAAACGAGAAACAGTGTGGAGTGCACATCAATGTGTAAAAAATTGTTGTGCAGTTATAAGACCGGTCAGTGTGAGACAGTCAGTTTGAACTCAGCAGAAACATCTGTCTTGTGATGTTCACTGAGCCCTGGATTAAACTCTCTGGGTAAAACAATTTCAATTTGTGTGGCTTCATCTTTTTATGCTAAATCTGGTCTTTGCATTGAGTCTGCGACACAGTGCACACTGCTTTGTGTCTGAGTCACTGGAGGTTTAAGAGACGTTTTAGGTTTCAGAATGAGGAGTTAATATCGAGAGTGCCGGGAAGAACCCAGGTCCAGTACTGTTGTCTTACAGAACATTGAGGCCAGGCGAAAGCCAGAGGCCACTGCTCCATATTCACACCTAACAACGCTACACAGAGTCTACTCAGCATCGCTCATGATACTTGTCAGTACTTCAGTTTGGGTGGTTTGGTTATGTCCATGTGTGTATCTATGTGTGCATGTTCATAACTCAAGTTTATCTGGTTATGCCAAAGGAGAACCCATACCTGTGCAGTGATGAATGTGACGCTTCCAGCCCCGACCTGTCTCACCCTCCTCAGCTGATGGGAGACAGGGAGAGAGCAGGACACATCACTTATTGGCAGACAGTCACATGGTCCAGGTACCCGGAGCCGCTACTGGCCAACATCACTCTCTCCTGGAACAAGAGTCTGGAGGTGGTCGATGACATCATCGTCACCTTTGAGCACGGCCGACCAACCAGCATGGTTCTGGAGAAATCCATGGACAAAGGTGATTGGTAACTGGGGTGGGGGTAGGGAGTACGTGCTCCTGCTGTGAGATCATCACCTGGTTTATAATGGACCTGGACCAAAATCTGGTTTTGTGATTTGATGCTCTCAGTTCTCTTCTACCTGAGGTTTGGAGGTTAGTCTCACTCCTGCGTCGTATTTACATAGCAGAGTAGAACAAGTTCACCGACCTTCACCTGCACAGAGAAGAGAACTAGTCTGAAGAGTCAAAACTCCAACACGAGTAGCACACACACACACACACTGGACCACAGTCTGTACTGGAGCCCAGTAGAAAGGCTATATTTATGAGCCTTGCCCTAAAATTTTTGGCCAATATTCAGAAAGATTTTGTTCCACTCATGTTCATCAAAAGCTATAGGAACTGTCACCGAGGCTCAGAAGTTACAGCACATGTAGAACAGATTTCTTAAGCTTGAGAAAGCTGGTAAATCAGATTGTAAGTCAGTTTATGCTGTGTTTAGGAAACAGGGCTCTGCTCTAAGTATCAACACTGGAAGACGGGTGAAAAACATGCTGATGTAACTGATGCAAATGTGTTGTAATAATCTATATTGGAAGGTTAATAAACATTAACAGCTGGTGTTTGTCTCTGAGGTGTGACCTGGCAGCCATACCAGTACTACGCCGACAACTGTCTGGAGACCTTCAGCATGTCCCCTAAACAGATCTCAGACTTAGCACCAACTAACTTAACCCAGGTCATCTGCACCGAGCAGTACTCCCGCTGGGTTGGAGCCAGGGTGGGTAACTGGACCTCATAATGGTCAAACTGGAAATAGGGGTAAAGCCATTTAATAGTTACTGTTATTTACAAGCTAAAGTCTTTTTGACCAATAAGTGACAGTTTTTGGTGAACAGGAAAGGTGTACAGTAGCTGACCAATAGCTGCAGAGCAGGTAAACTTACCGAAACTGTTCAACCCACAGGAGGAGAAGATCGTGGTGTTCGAGGTGCGTGCTCGGTTCAGGGTGTTTGCAGGTCTGAAGCTGATCAACATGGACACTCTATACACCCAGATGGAGACTATGAAGGGCCTGAGAGACTTCTTCACCTTCACCAACCTCCGCCTAAGACTGCTCCGCCCAGCGCTGGGAGGAACCTATGTCCAGAGACACAACCCGCTGAAGTACTTCTACGCCATCTCCAACATTGACGTACCAGCCAGGTAACTAAACTAACTACACCTACACACTACCAGCTAATGACCGACTCCGTACTCCAAACCAGTCAAATCTACCCAGAACTACAACCACAGTTGTTCTCGTGTTGTGCGAAGAGTTAAAATGAGGAGTTCATACCCCACCTACCTCTTCACCTCCACACAGCTGACCAGTCAGTGTGAGGACAGTCTGATGTCAGTGTGTCTGTTTCAGAAAGTCTGGTGTCACACGAGTGTTCCAGATGCTCTTTTATTGTCTAACAGCACACCTGATGGTGGGTGCACCTGTTTCTCAGGTGTAACTGTAACCTGCATGCGTCTCAGTGTCTGTTACGAGATGCAAAGTTGCACTGTGAGTGTGACCACAACACGACGGGTCAGGACTGTCAGCGCTGCAGCCGAGGGTTCAAATCCCACAGCTGGAGACGTGGATCGTACCTGCCCCTGCCCAAAGGCACTGCCAACTCCTGTACGTACCTGTACACACACCCAGCAACATCATCAACCTCATCATGTTTAGCTCCATCAATCATTCAGGTCACTGGATTCAGTCACATTTCACTTTGATGAAACCTGATTATTACAGTGTTGTATTGTTTTCAGGTGAAGCAGCAGAAGTAGCAGCCAGTAAGTACTGCTCACCTGCTCAGCTGTCAGTCCCACCCAGCTCCCCTGTCCAATACAAAGCATAGAGATGTGGTTGGTGTTGCATCATTTTTTAGTTTTTAAAATGTTCACATTTCCTCTACTGAGCAGCTTTAAGTGTTAGTGTGTTTTTCTCACAATAACACAGCAGTTAATAGTTTTTTAAATTAAATATTTCATTATTTTTGATCCAAAACTAATAAAATCTAGCTGTTGAAAAACTGTATAATGAGGGTTTTCGTAGGTACTTACACCACAGCTAAAAACGCAAAGTCAAATAAAATACAATGGGGGAAGACCTTTAATATGAAAATAATGATTACTTCCCTTTTAAAATTGCTGTTGCTTCCCAGAGCGATCGCATCATCATATGTTCGCTCTCATTGGTCACACGAGTCGTTCACTTACAGATCAAGGTGCATTCTGGGAGTTAAAGCTCAATGTTAATCTGAGATTCAGAGCACTTAAAGCACCAACAGATGGTCCAGCACTGTGGGGGTTTGTTCACTGCTAGAGAACAAGTATAGTCCAGTGAAGGTCTGTGCAGAACACAGCTGGGGGTTTCTCAGCTCTCTGGTTGTTTCCACATTGGAAAGCTTTGTTTGGCTGCTTGGGTTCAGGTGGCAAAATGACTTCTGCAGTAGACTGAGGTGAAATGCTGAAATGACCACCAAAAAGATTTGTGTCATTGGCTTATGTTGTCTAATAGATGTGTAAATGAGCTGCGCACAAGCAGATGACAATCGGAATCCGTGGGTATCCATAAACTAGCATTTTGTGTTAGGCGCTTTCCTGAGGTCCTGGTCGATTGCAGAGCCGGGTCACAGAACAGTTAAATCATCCATCCCTTGTCTATACCATTTACCCTTTAGTGGATTTTTGGAGTCAGTCCCAGCTGACACTGGTGGCCCATCTATCACAGACCAAGGTACAAAGAAAAGGTTTTCCGTGTTTTCACTGACCAACTTCATTGCATTTTGTAAATATAAACAAATTTAAAATTTGATGCTGCAACACACTCAGCAAAAGTTGTGACAGAGCCCTGCTTACCTTTCCTTTTAATTACATTTTAAAATCATTTGGGAGCTGAGGATCCTAGGTGTTGCATTTTTGTCCCATTACTGCTGGATACAAGACTTCAGCTGCAGTCTGTGGTCGCACCTGTCTGAATCTCCTCTTCATGATGCACCATACATTTTCAAAAGAAGACAGATGTGGACTGCAGGCAGACCAGTTAAGCACAGTCACTCTGTGTCTACAAGGCCACGTTACTGAAGCACACGCAGAATGATGCCTGGCATTGTCTTGCTGAAATATCTGCAGACTGCCCAGGAAAAGACATTGCCTTAATGGCAGTGTAGGTCTCTAAAATTGCAAAATAAACACCTCCACATTGATGGTACCTTCACACACAAGCAAGTCACTCCTACGATGGGCACTGATGCAGCAGTTTTAAGAGGTTTTAATAATATTCTTTTAACCATAGGTTTTAGGAGACCTTGCTGTTTTAATTCCCCTAGATTTTTGTGTTGCCTTCGATACAGTGGATCACAGGATCCTGCTTTCTCACCTATCACAATGTGCAGCTATTCAGGTAGTAGCCCTGAACTGGTATGAATCTTCTCTGGCCAATAGGAGCTCAGTAAATACTGGTAATTTTTATTCATCCACTACATCTCTTATTTGTGGGGTCCCTCCTGGTTCAATCCTTGGTCCAGTATTGTTCACTATTTACAGCCTATTGTCCTTGTGGCAACCAATTTTAGGAAATATGGCCTATCTTTTCATAGTTATGTGGATGATTTGCAGATTTATCTTCCAGGTCTAAGGTCAAAGTGTTTATTTGTCATATGCATGTTTCCCTGTACAATGAAAAACTTACTTTGCCGTCCACATGAATGCCACAAAATACAAATGAAATATAAAGTAGATAAATAACTAACACAAAATCTAGGGCACTTTAAGCAGCAAATGCAGCAATATGATAAAAAAATATAAGACTATAATAAGAGAATGTATGCTGCATGGGAGCAGCATGTGCAGCAGTAAGCAGTCATTGTGCAATTATGCATGTGTAAACTGAGAATGTAAACAGTACAGGTCGACAGTACATGACGTATTTCCTGGTAATAAACTCCAGTGAAAGCAAACTCAAAAAACTCACTACAAGATCTCTTATGATTGTCCAAATGACCTTAAGGCTTAGCTAAATCAAAATTTTCTATATCTTAAGGACTACATTCTATGTAGACGAGGCAATCTGAGAGAGATTAGTGACTGCAAAGTGTTGGTAGGAGAAAGTGTAGCCAGACAGCATCGGATGGTGGTGTGTAGGATGACTCTGGTGGTCAGGAAGAAGAGGAGAGGAAAGACAGAAAAGAAGACCAAGTGGTGGAAGTTTCAAAAGAAAGAATGTCATGAGGAATTCAGACAGAAGTTGAGACAGGCTTTGGGTGGTCAGGAAGAACTTCCAGATGACTGGGAAACTACAGCAGAAGTGATCAGGGAGACAGGTAGGAAGGTGCTAGGTGTGTCATCTGGAAGGAGGAAAAAACATAAGGAAACATGGTGGTGGAACTTGTACAGAGAAGGACTTGTACAGGAAAGAGTAGTGGAAGCTAGGCTAAAAAAGGAAGTGGATATCTGTGAGCAGCAGTATAGCTTCATGCCCAGAAAGAACACTCCTGATGCAATTTTTGCTCTGAGAATGTTAATGGAGAAGTACAGAGATGGTCGGAAGGCGCTGCATTGTGTCTTTGTGGATTTAGAGAAAGCGTACAACAGAGTGCCAAGAGAGGAGCTATGGTACTGTATGAGGGTGTCAGGAGTGGCAGAGAACTACGTCAAAGTAGTTCTGGATATGTATGAGAGGAGTACGACAGTAGTGAGATGTGCTGTAGGTCAGACAGAGGAGTTCAAGGTGGAGGTGGGGCTACATCAAGGATCGGGTTTGAGTCCCTTCTTGTTTGCTATGGTGATGGACAGGTTGACAGATGAGGTCAGACAGGAATCTCCGTGGACAATGATGTTTGCGGATGACATTGTGATCTGTAGTGAGAGCAGAGAGCAGGTGGAGGAACACCTGGAAAAGTGGAGGTCTGCTCTGGAAAGAAGAAGAATATAAGTCAGTCGTAAAAAAGAATACATGTGTATGAATGAGAGGGAGGGAAGTGGAACAGTGAGGTTACAGGGGGCTGAGGTCAAGAAGGTGTAGGAGTTTAAGTATTTGGGGTCAACAGTCCAGTGTGATGGGGAGTGTGGGAAAGAGGTGAAGAGGCGAGTGCAGGCAGGTTGGAGTGGGTGGAGAAAGGTGTCAGGAGTGTTGTGTGACAGAAGAGTGGCAGCAAGAATCAAAGGAAAGGTGTACAAGACAGTAGTGAGACCAGCTATGGTGTATGGGTTAGAGACTGTAGCAGTGAGGAAAAGACAAGAGTCAGCGATGGAGGTGGCTGGAGGTGCCCTCCACCTCCTCCCACCTCCCAACTCCCACCTCCAGCAGAACTTTGGTTGGCTCGTGGGACACCTGAGGCAGCTGACGGGTACCGGCAGGCCAAGCGGACTGCAGCCCGGGTGGTTGTGGAGGCAAAAACTCGTACTGGGAAGAGTTCGGTGAGGCCATGGAGAGGGACTATCAGTCGGCCTCGAAGAAATTCTGGCAAACCATCCGGTGCCTCAGGAGGGGGAAGCAGTGCCCTGCCAAAACTGTTTACAGTGGAGGTGGGCAGCTGTTGACCTCAACTGGGGACATCGTCGGACAATGGAAGGAATACTTCGAGGATCTCCTCAACCCCAGCGTCATGTCTGCCAATGAGGAAGCAGAGGCCGGGGGCTCAGAGGTGGACTTGTCCATCACCCAAGCTGAACTCACCGAGATAGTTAAGAAGCTTCTCGGTGGCAAGGCACCGGGGGTGGATGAGATCCGCCCTCAGTACCTTAAATCTCCGGATGTTGTGGGGCTGTCTTGATTGACACGCCTCTGCAACGTTGCATGGTGGTTGGGAACAGTACCTCTGGACTGGCAGACCGGGGTGGTGGTCCCTCTTTTCAAGAAGGGGGACCAGAGGGTGTGTTCCAACTATAGGAGGATCACCCTCCTCAGCCTCCCCAGGCGACCCCTAACGGGAACAGCCAAAGAGAAGAAGAAGAAGATATAAAGAAACTTGGTTTGATTTGATTTGAGTGTTTCAGGCATCACATTCTAAAGTTGTTTATATTTACAAAATGCAATTGGGTCAGTGAAAACACTGAAAACCTTTTCTTAGTACTTTTGTCAGTTAAATAAAGGTTCAAGCAAATTAACAGATAATCTCCTGCTGCCACCAGTATTTTGTCCCCATCAGCATACAGCGGAATTTTTTTTGTTGCAGTACAGCAACTAGCCACTGGGAAAGAAAATGGATGAATGGTCAAGTGGTGGCACTGTTTCCAGCTCTCATTATACATTCACGGTTATCCATCAGCATCTTCCTCCTCCAGATGCACATCAGGAAGACATCAGCCCATATGGGGTCAGAGTTCAGTTCAGCTGAACTTGGTAACAAAACCTGACATGTGAATGTACAGCTGCTCTTGAAACCAGAAATAAAGAGTCTGCTCTGCATAGCATCAAACTTACACTTTTGGTATGGAAGACCTGTATGGGGCCCAGGAGGACATTTAGAGGTTTGAGGAGGTTGGTTTTATAAAGAGATTGCGCCGGTCTGTGAAAACACTCCCATTCATCAGGAAACTCGGGATGTGAGGGGGTTTTAGACACTATTATACGGTCAACTGATGTCATTACAAGCACAGCAAGTCCTCTTACTGTCACAGATACAGCCAATACATCTACTACCACTGACAAATTAAGTATTTCTACTGCAGAAACAAGCACTAGTAGTGGCACTATGTCTGTATTTGGTACTAATAATGCTCTTATTATTAGTTCTTACATGGGTGATACTAGTTCTACAACTTACCTTAATAGTACTAGTAATATTAGTATCTTTCCTAAAGCTGGTGTAGAATCTACTCCTACATCGGTCAACAGCACCACAGTTTTTACTCCTGTCAGTAATGCTATTAGTACTACAAGCCCCTACAGTATCAGACAACACCACTCCCAGTACCATTAGTAGTATCTCCAGTTCTACCACTTTCCCAGGCTACCATCTTGACCACCATCTTGACCACCCAGGCTACCATCTGGGGTGTTTATTTCTGACCTAGTAACTCTTCCCTCTGATTCCACCTTCTCATTAGACAACACAGACACCGCCCTCTCTGGAACTGGTCCTACCAACCTGATCACCAGTACTGCTCTACCTGCTGGTGGTACTACAACAACTGCATTTCAATCACCTCCAACAACTATTCCAGAAATAACCCCATGCAGTGATGGGGTTCCATCCAGAGATACTCCATGCACTGGACCAGCCCCAACCAGGCAGGCTAAAGATGCTCCACCTATAGCAGGAGCTGACACAATTTTCATCGATGGTCCTCCAGATACTTCATTAGATATACCACCTCCTGATCATCTTCTTCTAGATGTACCTAATATATCTCCTCCTGATACACCTCCTTCTGATATACCACCTCCTGACATACCCCCTGATGTACCCCATCCGGATGCAGCATCTCCTGGTATGCCTCTTCCTGATGTACTACATCCCAGTGTAGCACCTCCTATTGTACCATGTCCTGACATACCACCTAATGACGTACCTCCAAAGGTACCAATTTCTGATCTACCTCTGCATCATGTACCTCCTCCTGATGATCCTCCTCCAACTGGAGTTCATGCAGAGTACGTACTGCCTCCCTCTGAAGGAGGAGGAGGTGAAGCTGGACCAGACACAAGCTCCACCACCTCAGATCGCTCTAATCCTATTGGTGAATTGGCCCCTGTGGATTTTACTTTTCATTTTCATGAAGATCAAAACTCAGTTGACCCTCAACCATATTCTAGATCTAATTCAGGATCTGAATCTGGACTACCACCAGTTGGTGAGCCTGGGACTATACCAGATGACTCCTTTGAGGTGCCTGGATCAGATTCAGTTTGGCCTAGACTGGATTCTGTGTCAGTCAGACCAGACACAGATGAAAACGAGAATAATGGACCAGGATTAACTGATCAGCTAGGTGCTGGTCTGGAATCTGGACCAGATCTTCCTCCAGCGGTAGTAGATTCAGGACTAGAGTCATCTCAGAATGAAGGAAAGGCTGGAGAGGATTCAGCTGCTGGTGGACCCACAGGAAGGTTAGAGTCCAATGAAAACAAAGGCTCTAAACAAGAGAAAACAAGCGAGCAGAAGGAGGAAAAAGGTACAAAAACATAGGGCTCTGATTGGAATATAGATTCTAGTTTACAGTATATGCAGTAATAGTGGCTGAACATTCAGGTAGTTTTGATAGTAAGATAATGTTTATAATTTGAAAAAGCAGCTAGACAACAGATGACTGATATTATACAGGTTTCACGTCTGTACTGTTATTTTCATAACCGAAACCAGGTCCGTTACTCCTTTTCCCCATCAGGTACGTGTACTGCTGGTAGGATGCAAGGGCATATGGAGAACTAGCAACAAGTAAACTGAAAAGATAACTGGGAGGAGCTGTAGGACTGAAAATCTTATGAGCAGAAGTGTCACGTGTTAATCCAGCACTCCATTAAATTATGTGATTGTTTTAAGCCAAAATTCTCTATTTGTTGAACAGTTGCTAAGGCAAAAGAGGGAACAAACAAAGAAACCAAGGAGGAAGGTGAAAAGGACAAAGATGACAAAGGTTATGAGACAAAAGGTATATATAGAACATACTGTATATAGAAACATCTTCGATGCATCCCAGATGTGGCTCTCTGCACCGCTTCACTAAAGATACACGTCTAGTCTATTTTTGCTAGATGATGGATGCTTCGGGCAAGGCTCGACCCACCAATCAGATAGTGCTAGTTGGTTATAGCCTACCAGCACAACATCACCCAGCACTGTATGCAAAACATTTATTTTAACAACTAAAACATAGTCACAAATCTTTTTTTTCATAACTTTACTGTAACCATTCAATTAAATTTACCTGTTAACTGTACTCTGTCTGTAGGCTACAGCACAACAAAGTGGGAAATAAGAACAATATAAGAAATAATAACAACAAACAGTTAACAGACAAAAAAAGAAACTAACTACAAAGCCTACTTACTGTAGAAGCTCAAGAATGAAGACAAACATCCACATAAAATCAGCAGCACAACCAGCTGCTTTGCAGACAGCTTGTGAGGGATGAAGCCGTAGAGAGGAAACGCAGCGCAGCCGCATGTGGTGGAAAAGGGTCAGAAATGGCAGCTATTAGCTAGCATTAGTAACCACAGCACCATCATTAGTAGTAGTTAGGCAGTAGTAGCAGTAGTTGTGACTGTACTTCAGACTTCATGCCACCTACTGAGCTCTGATTGGTATTAGTTCAGTCCCTGTAGACCACCACTGACCCACACTGACCCCTGACTTTAGAGTTAGGATTAGCAGCTACCTGGCTGTTTCCAGGGTTACACACCTTGTTTTGTGTCCAAAGCAATCCAGAAGATTCTGATTCCGGGAGGGCCAAAGTTCAGTCAACTGTCCAAAATCACCTATGTCACCTTCCAGGGTAAGACCACCTCTGACCAGATGACTCCTTCACCTGTACTGACTCCATCTCCTACATGTCTCCTCCCCAGAGGTGGGAAGTAACGAAGTACAATTACTTCAATACTGTACTTACAGTGGGTACGGAAAGTATTCAGACCCCCTTAAATTTTTCACTCTTTGTTATATTGCAGCCATATGCTAAAATCATTTAAGTTCATTTTTTTTCCTCATTAATGTACACACAGCACCCCATATTGACAGAAAAACACAGAATTTTTTACATTTTTGCAGATTTATTAAAAAAGAAAAACTGAAATATCACATGGTCATAAGTATTCAGACCCTTTGCTGTGACACTCATATATTTAACTTAGGTGCTGTCCATTTCTGCTGATCATCCCTGAGATGGTTCTACACCTTCATTTGAGTCCAGCTGTGTTTGATTATACTGATTGAACGTGATTAGGAAAGCCACACACCTGTCTATATAAGACCCTACAGCTCACAGTGCACGTCAGAGCAAATGAGAATCATGAGGTCAAAGGAACTGCCTGAAGAGCTCAGAGACAGAACTGTGGCAAGGCACAGATCTGGCCAAGGTTACAAAAAAAATTTCTGCTGCACTTAAGGTTCCTAAGAGCACAGTGGCCTCCATAATCCTTAAATGGAAGACGTTTGGGACGACCAGAACCCTTCCTAGAGCTGGCCGTCCGGCCAAACTGAGCTATCAGGGGAGAAGAGCCTTGGTGAGAGAGGTACAGAAGAACCCAAAGATGACTGTGGCTGAGCTCCAGAGATGCAGTCGGGAGATGGGAGAAAGTTGTAGAAAGTCAACCATCACTGCAGCCCCCC